TAGTTTCCACTTAAAAACTATAAAAACTATAGCTGTTAAAATGCTGTTTCAGAGCTTTTCTGACTTTCTTGGTGGCAGCAGTGAATTCTCATGTTTGAGCCTGAGAGCAGAAAGAAAAAGACCTAAAAATAGCACCGCAGTCGCAGAAATCGTGGCATCACCCAACAATTCAAACCCGGCTGGGTGCATCCCGGATCGTCTCGCCGCACGGGGCAGTGATAATAAACTCGCTGTTTCTTCATTCAGGCTGGACGGCAGGCATGTTGTGTTTGGCAGCGTGAAGGAGGGAATGGACGTGGTCAAGAAAATGGAGTCTTTCGGTTCACGGACTGGGCGAACCTCCAAGAAGATCACAATCACAGACTGCGGAGAGCTCAAGTAGACGACATGTGAGCGGGGGACACGGCCCCCCAGTCTCGTCTCCTGTAATTTCAATGTGAGGGTCTGAGAGAAACGCTCAGGCCTCGGTCATGGCACATGGTGCTGCTCCTCTTTGACAGTAGATAATCTCAGAGTTGTGCCAAAACTCCCTAACAAGTGGTGCACTTCACTGTGCATCACTGTAAAATGTGAACTTGTATTATAGAATGCAGGGGTCTGCTGATTTTCAGAGGAAGCTATTCATTCATTAATTAACTCGGTTTGCAAAAAATAATAAAAGGAGTCATTTTTTCTTCATGTGTGAGCTTGTTCTCTGCGTCTGTTTTGATGCTACGTGAACCAGATGTTTAAACATCAGGAAAATATCCAAAGGAAAAACTTGACACTTGACAACTGGCTGAAATTAAGCTTATAAATGAAAGGTGTGCCCGTTTATTGGGTGAAGGGCGAATGTTTTTTTATCAGCAGCTGCGGAATGAGATCAGTGTTTAGAGTTTTTTTATTTTCCTCTCCTGCTTTTCTCATCAGCTTCAGTCGACTCATGATCTTATTCCTCTAGGTTTGATTCTGCTGAAGGTCTGAGACGTCCGATCTAATTGCTACTGCACAGTGAAGTGTTCTGCACGTTCTTTACATATATATGTAAAATTATATGTGGTGGACCGATAACATGTTACATCAGGATTTGTTGATGGTGTTTTTCACACTGATGTTCTCTCTCGGCTCCCAAACTCCAACATGGAGGATTTAAAAACAGATCTTCTGATCTTTCATCGTCAGAAGAGACAAAACCGATCAATTAGCAGAACAGTAAGAAAACAGGAACACGATGTAACATGTTTAAATTCATTTTAATACAAAAACATTTGAAGAGATCCATCTCATGGGTTACTCCCATCAAGGCACATTAAATGGCGTGTCACATCCAGATCAGTTATTATCAGCTGATGTTTCTTTTCCATTTAATTATGGTTAATTTGAAATACAAAAACCCTCTGAAGCAACATGCCCCGAAACCCTCCGCTGAATCCTTCATGATCTTTGGTACATTCAGGTTTTTAATCCTCTTTTTGTCTCATGTTACATATGAGACATTACAGCCTATAAAAAAAGCACTTTGCCGAGTCTCTGTTAGCACTGGGTGCCAAAATATATATTTGTCAGGAAATAAATTGTTTCTAAATTATTGCATTTGTTTACAACTTTGAAATAAAACGACCTAAAAGGGGTTTTAACTGTATTCACATAGTACATAAAGAATAAATGTTAGTTGGCTAATATATTCCTTCATTAAGTGTAATAAGCGACGAAACTAATCGCTTAAAAATATCTCCAAAAAATTATGTACCCTCCCGTACTGATAATACAGATACACATTAATACTGCATATCCTTCTTAGTAAAGACTTGTTGCATATTTTATACAGAAAACATAATTTTAATTTATTTCTGGAATATACAAACATGTAGAAAAGAGTCCAAGTCACTCGTGACTTTAGTTCCAACGTGAAGAAAGTGAGACGCTGAGCTAAAGTTCTTTAATTCACAGTTGGTAAGATTCTCGCTTCATAGTTACGACTTCAAATGAATATTCACATAATGATAACTGAGTTACTCACAAGCACCCAGCAAATGCAAAGTACTCGTCTCCACTGAGAGATACTCCAGAAAGTTTCCACTGCGACGAGCCTCTAACACGGAGAGTCACAGTGTCAGAGAATAAACCATTAGAGATGAAGTACAATAAAGTTTATTACCTTGTGTTTTTAGTTATTAAAGTATATTTGTCCCTTTGTGGATAAAATGAGGGAAGTCAATAACCGTGTTATTGCACACGGCGGCAGTAGTAGCCAAGGACTTTGCATTTTTCACACAGGTGTTGTGGATGCTCTTTGTTCTGGTCCGACACGTCCAGCCCGTCCGGTTTCTCCAGAGGTCGCTGGAAAAAACGAACAAAAATAATTACGTTTTGTTCTCAGCCTTATGTTTGGGACTGGTACCAGTGTTAATGACTCAGGGAGAAATTTGCATTCCACAATTACACAAAAATGCAAAACATGTTTCATTTAATTCATAAAAAAAACAAACTATATTTATTTCTTTTTTTTAATTTCCCTATTCTCTAAATTCCAATTTCTACCACTCTTAAATTCATATGTTAGAATGTTTTGTACAAGGACGTTTTTTTACATCCAAAGTTAAGGACGACCATGGTGACCATGTTCGGAGAAGAATTATTTTAGATGAAATGTATGACAATTTTGCAGGATCTGATATTTGTCATCTACGGTAAAGACTTGATCTTGGGGCCTCTTCACAGCTGAGGGGCCCCAGAGCAGCCCTCCTAGTCTGCTGATACCTTCTGTCGCTTGGATTTGCTGTTACCTGTTTATGAGGGTAAACGTTGATGTGGCACTTGATGCATTCTTGCCCCATGTTGGCCCAGGAGTTCCCGCTCATCCACTTCCTCTTGCATTTAGGGCATTTGTATTCTCCGAAACACCTCTTCTTTCCCTGATACGGCGTACGGCCTTCACCTTTGGGTCGAGCCTGAACACAGAGTCATAGCAGGAAATAAATTCTATAGCGTCAACATCTTGCACTACCTGCTTTTAGCTCACTTCATTACTTTAAAAGTGTAAAAATGACACGTTTCCAAATGTGTGAACCGCAGCAGCTTTGCAAACCTTTTGGTTTTTGCCTCTCAACACCTTTGATTAACGGTTTCTCTGGTCAGCAGCCAATTCAAAGCCCTGCGTGATTAGAACGAGAAGCGAAAAGCAGCAGCTTTACTGGTGGTCAAGAGAGTTGAGTTTGAAATGAATATTGAGTATGAAATGAATATTTATTGGTTCTGTCAAATACGAGTGTGATTATGGAGGTGGCTCAGAGCACCTCCGGATGAACCAGGGAGAGGTGATGGCACCTCTGGAAGAGAAAGATAAGATGTACCTAAACTACATAGTAAATTATGCTGTAAGAACTACAGAGACTCTTTCCACGATTGAAGCAAATACAAAGTTTTAATACTTTTAATACTTATTCCAAGAAAGTTGCATTATATTGTAATTTTTGTGTGTAATTTATTTGTTGGCCAGAAAAGAAGGAGTCTCAGCTTTCCCATTAAAAATGAACTCACTCCCTCCAGCTGTGTTCCCAAGGGACCATAAAGGAGGCCCCGGCCTGTGTGGGGACCAAAGGGAGAGGCCTCCCCGCTATAGGACAAATACCTCAGGCTCTCAGTCATCCCTCCCAGCTGCTCCCAACCCACCAACCAGGACACAAAGATCTTAGCTCGGAGGAAATAAAACCCAGATGAACTCTGCACTTGTATAACATGTGACAAAATCCAAAACCCATCACAAAGAAATCGTCTCGACAAGACTGGTTTGAATTAAAAGCGCCTCGGCTGAGAAAGTAGGGCAAGTTAAAATTAAGACGGAGTCCACGCCACCGAAGGAGTTCATCAAATCTTGTTTTGATTTCGCAGCAGAAACACATGTCAGGTTCAAAACCTCCAGCAGATCATTTTATTCATTTCCAGGACTACATCTGTCAAAAACAACAACAGCCAAGTCCCTCAACTGTACAGACCGCTGTGTTTGCATCACTCAGCCACCATGAGGCACTGTGGGAGGTCACTTTTGATAACAGCGCCTACAGGGAGAGTGGACAGAGCCTCATCTTCCTGAGGGAGGAAACAGCTTTCACTGTGCAGAGCAAGCAAAACAAACTGTACCTAAAGTCTGGAGCCCACAGGGCAGCAGAGGGCACGGCGCACTCCGGTGTTTCCACTGGTCCCATCAAAGAAGTGACACCGAGAACCGACCAATGACAATCACACTTTTGACCTGACTATGAGTGGACAGCAGGAAAGTTTGAGCAAAGGCAGAAACATGTACAAATCTGTCATCGATCCTCCAGCATGTATGGCACAAGTCACGAGTCTCAGAATGTTTTTCACTGTTTTACTTTTACTAACCCTAACCCTTTTTCTCAATGTCACAATGCTGCCCAAGCTGATCAACCAATAACAAAACCATCTATATTACTTAAAAACACAATTAACTGTCTCTCTCAAATAAGACTGAATCAAACACGCAGCAGTGACATGTTTGCTTTTATGCTCTCAAAGAGCTTCTCTTTGGATTTAGAGGTACAGGCTGTTCTGTTAATTTCTTTTTCTCATGAAAACAAGACTTAATCTTGTTAATTCAGAGAAACAGCTAATTTTTTTCCCTCTCAATTGAATGCAACACGCTTCCGTATGGTTGTAGTTTGTTTTCTGACTTTTTCATTTTTGGCCCGTTTTCTCCCAAAACAGATTTTGGTTTGATTGAAGATCTCTGCAGCCTAAAACCATGTGTGAGATGTGGTTTTGCTTTAAAGACAAACAGTTTTTTCCCCTTCATTTATTCTGTGCATTACAACACAGACTAACCAAAAGCCATATACTTTAAGTTGTGCAACTCAAATCAGAGCCAGAGTACATGGAGCGATGTAAAGCCAGATTTCGGGGCTGCAGCAGATAAGGCAGATCCTTGCAGCCGGGTGAGAGAGGCCCAGAAGGTTGGCTGCCTCCTTCTGCCATCATCTGGAATCCATCAGGATAAACAATGGATTTCTCTCCCCCCCTCCTTCTCCTTTCCCTCCCCCTCATTCACTCTCTCCCCACGTCCATACCCCCATGAGACATCCTGAAGAACGCAGGAACACCAGGCCTGTTGGATACCATGTGGTCAATTACTCCACACTAACAAACCCACGGCGCTCTCATCCCTTTCACTGGGTTTAATTTGTATCAGACGCCCAGAGTATCGGGGAGAAGCCCAGCTGTTACCAGAGCAAAACAACACATTAATGCCAGGACTCACTGCAACAGGTCTCCTAAGTCTTAAAGACTTAAGTGATACTTTGCATTATCTTGTGAAATCAATTATCCCAGCAGGGTTTGAAGCAACAAGTGGAGCATGACTTTTCATTTTCCATAAACAGATGAAATGAGTAGATGGTTGGACGTATTTTAGGAATTATTACAAAAAAACATAATTATATCCAGAGACAGGTGAAATAATTACTTTAACTAGTTACAGGAATTTATCATGCAAGCACGCTGCTTGTTCCGTCGTCTCAAATGAGAGCGTTTACAGCTTTTCTCTGTTTCATATCATTGTTAAATTAATGAGATATTAAAATAACACATTTTCAGGTGACACCATAAAAAATAATAGTTTTGTCCAAATCTGCTGATTCTTAAAGTGTTCAAAGAAGACTATGGTGTCAATAATAATAGTAATAAAAATAATATATTATAATCTCTTAAACGTGCTTTGTAATGAAGAAAATATCTGGTGTACCTGAACATATTTGGGAACACTTTTAATGAGTAATTGGCCATGAATAWGTAATTATCTTTAACTGACACCCTGGTGTTCATACATATAGACATTTCCTCTCTTTAAATATTTGAGTTTATAGCTGCTTTGTTATTATGTGAAGATTTTTTTAAATACAATATGAAATCAATATGATTCTCATACTCACTGTGTATGAGGCTGATGTGTACAACTATACAGAGCTGCTCTTACTGTGTCATTCATGCTGAACTCAACATTCCTCTACATTTAAACACATGTTTAAAAGTGCACAAAGCTTCTCTACAGACTTCACCACACTGATAAGCACAAACCCCAGAGCTGTGATTCAAGGAAACAAGATACAAGACGTTCCCTGACCAGTGGCAGCAAACCTATGTCCTGTTTTACACAATGGTGCTTCCTTTTTTTCCCAGGATTTATCAGGGGCAAATGTTCCACTTATAGAAACATGCAGATATCAAATGATTCCTCCAGCGGCATGAGGCTGTAATCCTTCCACACAGCCTTTCTGCAAAGCTGGCTCATCTGACATACAGAATGGATTAACTTCCCCGTCCTCAAAAAAATAAATGTGATTAGGTATAAACAACTGCAGGCCAAAGAGCAGATGATTGGTTTTCTGTTTTCCTACGTGACTCTCTGGTTTTTTTTACCATTCCATCAAGCCCCATTGTTCAGAGCATGTAGGACCATTAAACACAGCAGAATTATACTAAACAAATTCATGGACATTATAGCCTTTCACCAACTATTTCACACAGAGTGCTTTCATAGGGGTCAAATTTACCAACACACTGAGCTCCAGTTGGCTGTGGTCAAGTTGATGACATATGCAGCTGTAAACTGGCTTTACATTTCACAATGAGGGAATGACAGAGGAAGGGGGGGTGGCAGAGACACACAACTGAGCCAGATCCAGGCTCCCAGGAGTTCAGTCACAAGCTGGAGGTAAATTGAATCTCATATCTAATGGGCAGTAATGGCTGCAGTTATAGTCAGTGTTACACTGTAGGAATAATCTCACCGAAAAGAACCTCACGTTTTAAAGTAGCAGTCCAACATCGATTTACAGTCGCCATGACAACAATCCACAGCATCTGTTAATGTGCCTCAACTTTTACAAACTTCATGAGCAGGTCGTAACAAATGGTGCCTTCATGTGGTGTATAAATAATCAAAAAACAACGACTTCAAAACTGCAGAAATGTAATTTTCCGAGGAGCACGTGTTTGCATAGATTTTAGATGGCTAGGTTTATATGACTTGAAGATGAAGCAAGCGCAAAAATAAGAAGAGGATACAGGCAGGACGACAAAAGCACTATGACGGGCTACAGACATAAACAGCGTAGATAATGAGGCAGAAGACAGAGGTGAATGGGTAAAGGGGAGCAAATGAGCAGGTGAGTGTGGGAGTCAGATGAATGGATGAACGATGCCAGAAGAATGCGGTGAGAATGGTTAGCTTTAGATTACAGACTCTGGGGGGAGTGAAGTCTGTTTTCCTTGTTAAACTGCATACTGAACCTTTCCTTATCCTTAAACCGATAGTAGTGATGCCTGATCTGACCGCAACCAGTTACTTCAATTCTTACTCCTGAGTCTCTGTTTTAGGAAGTCCTGATGACACTTCATACCACCCCCTCCTCAACTTAATCTACCCCCAGATTCCAGGGTTTCCTCTATCTTGCTCGTCCCCCTCAGCAGACGATCCGGCCAAAACCAACAGACAGTAAACTGAGGAGGGATAAGACATTTATCAGCAGTGAAAACACAAGGACCAAAGCAGAGGTAATCGGACAGCTCTGCCTGAGATTCACCAGTTACACATTCGACTGTGAGTCGTATCACTGCACCTGGACAGAAGTGTAGTGTCTGGTCCTAAACCAACACTGATAACACATATCCAAAGAGCCGGCCTGGTTTTGGACAAAACGTTTGAAATATATTTGGGTTCGGGTGGGTCATGTTTTTTTACGCATATTAACCTCATTGGGCCCTCGTCAGATTCGTAACTTTGGACATTCAATAAAGAGGTGTGGAAAAAAACAGAGTTGTGTCAGACTACGTCCTGGTAAAATTCTAAAATGTTAGAGGCAACGTAATTCAGTTAAAGACAATGAACACTGATATTAAATACTATAGAACTCAAGCAACTAAAAACATCTGTTTCATCCCTCATAGTTCAAATACAATAAAAGAATTCCCTCTGAAAGTGTTGCAACTATCAAACGTTCCACTGTGCTGACTAATTATCAAAGCAGACCTTGTCCCTCGACTCAAACATGATTCAACTGCAACTGTAAAGACATACCGGTAAAACCCTTTTCCTGTGCTACCCACTGTTTCCAGAACCACGGTTTTGATTTGGACATCTCTGGGCAGCCGCTCACTGGCCCTTTAGAGTGTTCGTATAATCGCCGCTTCTTCGAATACGGACAGACGGATGGAGGGAGATGGAGTTGACTGCAGCCAAGCCAAGCAGAGCTGAGCGAACAATACAGCCTGACTTCTTGACCTTTGGTTCCACAGGGCCTCTGGAGAAACAATGCTCTCCTTATATAGCCCAGGCCCTTCCCACCATACACCCATTTACTGTCAGCACACTGTCACTTGTGTATTCTCTTTACAGTAACCTGGTTCAGCTGCTTAATTGGCTGAAATTTGCAGTTTTTTCCATCAACGTGGCACAGAGGAGTATTTTCATCTTAACACACTGATTTAATCACAAGTTGTTTGTCTGCAACCCAACAGTAAGACATCAACAGTGTACCGAAGGTGTTAATTTCAGTTATCTGGAGCTAAAAATACATCAGATTCCATCAAACAAGAACAAAATGCAGTTCAGCTCGGGCACGGCTCAAGAGACCTTTTGTCATGACAACGGCTCCGTAATCATAGCCTCGTCAAATATTAGCAACACATGATAAAATCTGACATCATCCTTTCTGAGGCAGAGCAGCAGAACGCCAGCCAGCAGAAATGGTTTCCAGATTTTTGAACACTATAAGGGGCGTGGTCACTCCAGAGAATTGTAAATATCTCGGAGTAATCCTTCGACGTCTTAAACTCCCGGTGAAGCAAGTAACCCAACCCTACGCTATGCTGTCAATGGGATCCTTACCGCTGACATGCCAAGCACAGCATGGATAGTATAGCTCATACCAGCGAGCAGGGCCACAACCAAAAATTCATGGTCTGACACTTCCCTTTTTTCACTGTTTTTCATCACCTAAGGATTTGGCTTGAGGAGCCATGTGTTTCTTTATCAAAGAAGCAGACTTTTAGAGTTGACATGGGCCCCATTCCACCCAGAGAGAGGCTCTTAAAGGCCCCACACACCCACATCCTGTGCACTTCTTCTCTCATCTTACTGAGCAGTGACATTCTTTGATTCCTGACCATACAACTCCCTTCAGCTATGGAAACATGCAACCAGGAAGTCAATGCTGCTAATATGTTTTATATCAAAAGATCTGAAACAAGCCATTTGCATTGCTTCGATTAATGCATCTCTTTACTACATTAACGTGCATCTAAGATTGGTGTTTAAAGGATGCTAAATGTCAATGTGTTGATCAGTGGTGGAAAACGTCTCATTCAGACAGAGACGTATATCTTTCAACTGACATCTCTGCCTTTTGCAGTTAAGTGAAAATGTTGAGAGCTATAAAGTCACTGCAGTTGATTTTCTCTACATTCCTCACTTTGCTCCACTAATTTTTTTCATGGCTGAGCTGCACCAATCTCCTCTGTGTGGGCAGAGATGGAGGTGAGCTTTCAGAGAAGAAGTATTTTTGGGAAACACGGTTATTTTATTTCTATATGCGAGTTAGATGAGAAGATAACGGTCTAACGTCTGCACAGTTAAGATGTAGTTTTGCTGGAGCCAGCAGTTTGTTGAATATGTACAAAAGTGTAAACCCAACTATTTAAATGTTTTACAGTGAGTTTGTACAGGACAGAGCCAAGCTCGCTGTTTTCCAGTTTTCTGCTAAGCTACGCTAATTAGCTGCTTATTCCAGCCACTTGGGCAGACGACAACTTTAGGTGATAAGGCTCTATTTGCTGTATTTTCCAGAAATGTTCCTGTTGTCGTGAACGCGTCTGACTTGCTAGATCTCCTGCGTTCTTCATATGTGAAAGACAAACTCCAGAAAATGTCCAGACCCAATTTTCTAGAACCAGCTCATGTCTGAAAACAGCTTCACTTTCGGCAAAAACATAAATGTAACTCCCAAAATGTGCAACTATGGCTTTGAGCTCACACACAGCAGGATGCCATCACATACCAAAAAAATGAAATGTTTAAAATCTTGTAGCCACTATTTAATCTCTTGCACCAATTTAAGTTTAAATCAAAACGTTCTTGTAGAAAGTGATAGATTGCTGTAGATGTATCTTTGTTTTATGATCATGTTGCAGCTTTCACACAATCTTCTTTCTCTCTGACAAAATTAAGTGATGACTCTTTAACTGCGTCTTTATATAATCGACCAGTAAAAGTTTAACGGCTGTTTTGACTTTTTACTTTTTGCTACCTTCTCGGACACACCCTGTCAATTAGTCATTTGATTATTTCCATTACACCTAACAAATGTCAGGCATTTCCCTCTGAACATGATCAATGGGGAACCGCAGCTGCACATGAGCCAGTTGTAATTCTTCTTTCGTGTTTGGAGTAGAGGTCGTGCCACGTTCCACAGAAAAACCTATCATCTTTCATTAAGACCAGCTCTGAGATCCAATCGGGCATCTGCTGCTCATTACCAACCTGCAGTTGTACATCTAACTCAAATACGTGCTGAGGAATCTACTCTAACTTGGGTTGTATTATCTTTAAACAAAAAAAGCTGTGAATATGATTAAAACTGTGATGAAGCAGGTGGATTTGAACTAAGATTTAGATCAAATCAGATCAAATATGCCATGAATTCTTTTTTTCAGACAGCACTTCATAAATTGATGTCCAAAACATGTTTTGACAGGGGACTCAAATGGCTCAAACACGGCACAGCTGTTTCCTTTGTGGACGTGCACCTGACTGAGGTGCAGCATCCCTGACGGGCTCACCTGAGGGCAGTCTTTGATGTAGTGTCCTTTGTTGAAGCAAAGGTGGCACAGGTAGTTGGGCGGCGGCCGCTTGCTGTGTTTGCGCGTCTCGGGGGACAGGGAGAGGTCTGAGAAATGGTCCGCAAGAGAGCTCAGGCCGTCCACGATATTGTTGAGGGACCCGTAGGGCGAGGAGCTCTTGTAGAAGTTGTTGTTCACGGCCTGTTGGTGAAAAACATGGAGCAAGGTGATAAATCTGTGGCAATGGAAACATGTGGATGTGAGATTGAAATATACAAAAAATAGTAGATGCAATGACACACTAAGTCAAGGCTGCTCCTGACTATTAATCTCATTACCTCCACCAAGGAGTTTTCACCCCTGCCCTGTTTTTTAGTTGGTTTGTATGTTTGTGAACATGATCACGCAAAAACAATCGCAACAGTTTTCTGCAAAACTTGGTGAAAAGATCGACATGGGCCAAGGAAGAATCCATTTAATTTTAGAGTTGATCTGGATAAAGGGGCAGATCCAGGGATTTTTTAGAGCTTTTTAGAGCTCTCAACATTTTAGAGCTCTCAACATTTTCATCAGGCATGTTTAGGGGACTAATGTGTTTGAGTGTCTGCACTTTTGTGCAGATCCAAATAAAAATCTGGATCTAGTGAATTCCAATAAAATTTCATATTGGGACAGTTGGGCCTTGGTGGAGCTGAGGTATTGTTCATTCATTCTATTAACCTGTTGATGAATCTCTTAACTCTTTATGTAGCCTAAAAACGTTTAAGAGACCTTTAATGCCAATCACGATTTCCCAGAGACCAAAGCTATGTCCTAAAATAGGTTGTTTTGTCCAACCAACAATCTTAAACCCAGAGATACCCTGTTTACAATGATACAAACCAAAAAACTGCATATTCTCACTTGGAGATAATTAATTCAAATATGTTAAGAATTGTGATTGATTAATTTTCCATTAATCTATTAATGGATTAATGGACTAATCTTTGTAGCGCTGCACACAAAAGTATCCCTCATTTCAAACAAGGACACAGAGGAACATTGTTGTGACTCGACGATGAAAGAGCACTTCAGCCAGCATGTCAGTCCATCACCCTGATGGATTCTCCTGTTTGTCTCTCTGACAGAAGCCGACTTTATTTCATTTCTGCAGATGCGCTGCCTTTACCGCATTTACTCTGCAAGCCAATGGTGTCCGTTTCCTCGCCGGAACAAAATGTCTTTGTCGTGTATTATTCCGACCGGTCCTATATTTGCACAACACAATCAGAATCATTGTGTCTCTGGAGGAGACGGGTGCTATGGCACCGCAGGGCAAACATGAAGAACAGCATGCAGACACTGGCTGTTTACTCTGAAGGCATCACAGACAGAGAATTGTGCACAGATGCACATGAACAATCCAGAGTACATGTTCTGTATGACATATCAACCCACTGCCTGTGTCGCTGTGGCATGTGTGCAGTTACAGTACATCGTTCTGTCTGCCAAGTAGGTTGTTTATTAGCAGGATTATGCAAAAAACTACAGGAAACTTGGTGGAAGGATGCTGTATGGCCAGGAGTGAGTGAGTGTTAAAAATTTAAATTTAAATCTGGATCTAGTGAATTCAAATGTGGTTTCATCAGGAGGCTTTTGGGCCTTGACTTCTCCACGATGTTTGAATTCTTCCAGTTTAAACGTGAAAGTGTATGTTTAGGTCCAACATGTAAACAGAAAAACACTAATTATAATTTTTTTTACTTTTCTTAAACGGGTCAGTGTTGAATCAAGCAACACCAAGCTCCACTGAGTCAAGGCTGCACACATCTCTAACCAGCAGAGGCCAGCCAGGGTGAACCCTCACAAACCCTGTGAGAGTTTTTTTTTTTCTTTCCTCAACCTGCCATTCCTCCAGCAGCTGCACACTGACACCAGAAAACAGTCTGAACACACTCAGGCACTATACCAGGGTACAAAACACATATTCATATGCTACCCACTCGCCACAGTGTGACCCAATGAAGGCATGCAGGTGAGGTTTACTGTATGGCCTACAAAAATAACCCAGAGTGAAATGTGAGGGGATGATTTTCATGGACACACTAGGGGAGAGATTTATGATATGCAGCAGAGGATGCAAGTTTCAACGGGGCACTTGTGTTGGAAACTGTCACAGTGGCCATGCAAGGAGTTAGTCACATCACACCAGCTGTACCTCACTCCTCAGATGGAAGAAGTTGTTGAGATAGTTGGAGCTCAGGTCCGCTGCGCTGCGCTTGGAGTTGTTCATGTCCTGGACAGAAGAGTTCGACTCGGCTTTGAAGGCATCGAACGTGCTGCTCTGCGAGTCCTGCAGGGACATGTAGACCCAGTTGAGCAGCTGTGCAGGTTGGTACACGGTGGCACCAGTCTCTATAGCGGACATCATGCTGTCGTTGGATGGAGGGGGGCCGCTGCGCCTCTTGGAGAGAAAGCACCGTCAGAACCGCCGGGTTTTCTGGATCATCCAACTTCTCTCAGTCATCCCCCTGCTCCGGCTGGGTGTGTGTGGACCTCGTGTTCACCTGGGGGAGCCCTGGAGGACCCCGGTCACAGGACGGCAGCGTCTCGGGGAGGGCGCAGTGGAAGCATTGAGCGCAAAAAAGGGCTGAGCAGCGGTTTGGAGCTTGGAGCAGCAGGACTGTGGGTTGCGTCACAGCGGATAGGAGGTCCAATCAGCGAGCATCGCTCTGCTCAACTTTTCTAAGTGTTCAGGAACATGGAAAACTAAAAGCAGGAGTTATAATGAAGGAGAAACCGGTTCAAATGATTTATAGGTCAGTGCTCTTGTGTGGTTTAGTTTGGAATGAGCCCCATTCGTTTTTGGAAATGTGCTTAAAAATAGATACAAACATAAAAGTTTAAATTCCTCATTAAACCTCAGAAGTCCAGTTTTTCTTTATGTTGACTCCAGTTTGTATCGACTTTGTTTTTGAAAACAGTAATAATGCATAATGTTACATGAACGTAATTGTTAAAGACCCAAGTCTGCTGTTACAATAATGAATGTGTATATCATATTACGAAAAACTGACGTACGATAAGTCGTGTTTTGTTTGTTTAATTGTTGTTTTCAAGCAAAGTAAGAAGTTTTTGACTCAGCATTCATCACTGCAGCGTAAAGTAAAATAAAAGCATTTTGAGATACACTTCATGGGGCTCGGTTAAACCAACAGCAAACCACTTAGTGCTTACTCACTCAGTTTAAACTGATCTCACTTCAGGGCCTTCAGATTCTATACAGTCTGCAATACATGTCTTGACCACAAATAGCCTGCTGCCATCTAGTGGAGTAAACTGAAACTGAAGATAGTATTCTCACGCTTTGGGTTCAGGATTATTAAATTTATTTATATGGATTATTCCATATTGTAAAAAAAAAAAGAGCAAAGATAAGAGGAAAGTTTGAGAAGGGTGAGAAATAAGTGAAGCAGAATAAAATATATTCTTCTATTCTACCCAATTTATTTAGAGGTGAGGGCAAATTTAACCAGCTACAAAATTCTACTTTATGGTGCATCATTATAAACAATCTAATGAAATATTAACAAACCAGACACAGGGGTCATTTTTCTGTGACATTAACTTTTGATACTTACGTAAATATATTTTCCTACTTATTTACATACACCATGGTGACTTTAAACAATTTAACACAGCTAAGATAACTGTCTATCCACCTGAAAATTAGTAATATTGTGAGGAAAAACTTGCAAATAATTGATTTAGTGTGTAAAATGTAACTTTGTACTTCTTGGTCCCGAGCACCAAAAAGTACAGGATGAATGAACGACATTTACTTGAATTAAGTGTTTCTACATTGTTATGCTGTAATAATTATAATAATAATAACTGAATTTATATAGCACATTTTGAGAGGCCCAAGTCTGCGTAACAGAGATAAGAAACAAAAACATGACATAAAAAAAGAGGTACAGTGTGTAGAATTTAGTGATATCTAGTGTTGAAATTGCATGTTGCAGCAGAACAACTCACCCTCCTCTTCCAAACATGAAAAAGAACCTGTGGTAGCCTTTAACTGTCATAAAAACTCAAAAGGTGTTTAGTTTGTCCAGTCTGGACTAATGTAAAAAACATGGCGGCCTCCATGGAGAAGGTCCCCTCGATGTAAATATAAAGTATTCAAATATAAAGAGCCTTGTCCTTGACCTTTAAGTCTTTCTTTGTGAACATGTGTGTTTTAGGGAGATAAGTACACACGTGTGTGAGTTAACATGTGTGTTTTAGGGAGTGTCCAGGGTGGGGACATGTGTATAGTGAGTAAAACAAACCCCCTCCGGTTACCATGTAAACTAAAGACATGACCCAGAGACATATGTTCCAGTGTCTGTGGGGACAGTGAGCCTCAGCAGCAGTCTCTCGCTCCTGGACAACAACCGAGCAGAGCGGAAACCAGCTGAGGACCCACCCACCTCCAGCCTGCATCGTCCCTTCCTCTGATCAACTCCCTGTCCGCACAGTAAGTCGACTTAACCTTCTTCTCACACCTTCACTATTCAAAACATTAATCCTTCTCAGCGTTAAACTCGACCACGCAGCCGATCGATGTGTTTTCACCGAACACGAAGTTAGCATCGTCCGGTTAAACTGACTCAGCCGCCGTCGGGCTTTTTTTTTTTTTTTTTTAACGGTACGTCAACTATAACGAGAGCAGGACTTCCTCCATTTTAAAGAGGAGTTCTCAACACTCATGGTTTAATCTCCATTTGTCCAACACACCCTCGTTCCTCGTGCTACGTGTTGATGCTACATGCTAAACTTCGTCGGGAAGTATTGTGCAATGTTAACGGAAGGCAGGGTCACTGAAGCTCCTGGACATTTGACGAGATGTCGAGGTGTGGCGACACATTCAACGCGATGGTACACGCGTGATTTAAACTCTCCTTGTTATCGTAGACATGTTAATAAGGCAGTTTTGTTTAATATTAGCTTATTAGCTAGTTGGCTAATTGAACGTTTTCAGGCCTGCGATGCTCTGATGTTAATCGCTGACGCGTTCGGGTGCTAATTTCAGAATTGTAAAAGTCAAAACTAGAGGTGTAAATGCACATGCTCGTGGTGTTTTATACAGTGTGAAACAACAACAGAAGGCTACACTAGCAGGCTGTTGTGTTGTGTTGTCTGGGTTAGAAATCAACACCTCTGAGGATCGTTTTAAAAAGTCCACTGCGCATTTTAATCGTTTCTACAGTTATAAAACACACAGCGACGTCGCTATATTGTATTAATTTTCTTTTTTCAATGATTAACCTAATCTGGACTTTTTGTTCTCGCAGCCATCACATCTTCGGGTTGTAAATATGAGGTGGGATGTAAATTGTGGTGTTTCTGATAACCCGTAAACGCCTCACTAGTACTTACAAGGGTCCAAAGGAGAAGCTGGAAAGCAGCAGGAGAGTGTCGTCCACCAGGAAGTCACCTTTGACCCAGAATGATTAACACAATGGTGCATCTATGAAGTCAGAGTTTCTGCAGCCTGATTGACTCTACATCTATGATAAAGTCGTAATAATGCAGCCAAGCAGTGAGCTGTCTGTGAAGTTTACTTGTGTTTTATTGTGAGTGAAAACTGTGTGCATGTCTGCCCTGGTTCACCTGTGCAGCTCCTGTTACATGGCAAACATATTGTTAAATTCTGCCCTGCAGCTGTAATGTGTAGGTGGCACCATTCAGCTGTGTAATTCTAAAAACAACTCCTCACATGAGTGGGTTCTTATCAGAAGGATCTTCACGGTGTTTTTTTTGAGTGTTGTGTTGATGTGTAACTGATGTGTAACTGAAAAGATTTGGGGATATTGCAACAAGCGGCGTTCTCTCTGTTTGTTCAAAGAAGAGGGAAGGAACTCTTGATGTCAGCTGAGTTCACTTTCAAAACTAAAAAACAAAGCAGATTCATATGACATCATCATCACATGTTAAAGACCTTGGCAGGAGGCAGTTGTGAGTTTCTGACATTGTAATGGAATTGAAAAATGTCATATTGTTTATGTCTGGGAGGAGGGAATGTTTTTTATGCTGTTGAGATAACTTTATATCAGAGCTGGTCATTTAATTGAGGCACCAGATTGGCACTGGGTGAGGGGCTGGGCACCTGTTTGCATTATTTTTAGAGAACTGAAAATTCCATACTAACAACAGATACTTGTTGAACTGCAACTTATATTGTTGCTGATAGTGGATGACCGAGTTTCCAGTGTTATAGGTGTTTATGAACAAAGACTGTCACAAAATTACAGAAATGTTAGCAGGATATGTGAATTGAATCAAGAACCTTGCACGTTCTTGTTTGCTTCACATCTGACCAGCTATGGTGATAGACAAGCTAGGCAAATGAAGGGAAACCTCAATGTGAGACAACAACAGTCGGAGTATTTTTGCAGTTTGAATGAATCTCTATTAGCAATTTCCATCTGAGAATCTGAAAAGCAATCCCCAGGTGCAGGAGCGTTTTAAGTGACAAGGTGTCCCACAAAATACATGTAGACTTGAATTTCCCCAGGTATCATCAGTAATGAGCAATAACTTCATGTCACCTCCAGGTTCTGAAAAATGAGTTACCCAGGATACCCTCCTCAGTCAGGTGGATACCCACCACAGGCAGGGGGCTACCCACCTCAACCAGGAGCATATCCACCCGCAGCAGGAGGCTACCCTCCTGCTGCAGGGGGATACCCACCAGCAGCTGGGGGCTACCCTCCGGCAGCAGGAGGCTACCCCCCGCAGGCAGGCGGATACCCACCTCAAGCTGGCGGATACCCTTCCCAAGCTGGCGGTTACCCACCCGCAGCGGGAGGTTACCCCCAAGCAGCAGGGGGCTACCCTGCCCAGGCAGGCGGCTACCCTGCCCCTGCAGGAGGCTTCCCTCCTCAGGCCGGAGGATACCCACAGCCTGGAGCAGGAGGCTATCCTTCCATGCCTCCAGCAGGTGAGGTTGCACATTGTTATTGGAATCCTGGCGATTTACAGGCAACTCCACCAAAAACTTACATAAAAACATCATGTATAACAAATGAATGGCATTTTGATTGTTCTGTCAATGTTTTCTTTGCAGGTGGAGGCTGGGGTCAAACATCAGGCGGTTATGGCGCGGTACATAACTTCTTATATCACTCCTTACGTCTGCAGAACAATGTCACTAAGAGCATATGGGCTGACTTAAGCTAAAGCTCTTGTTTGCTTAAATCACCTTATCTTCACCAGCCTTACTAAACCGTATTTGTTCTACATGACGTTTGTCGCCACATTCTTAGCACTTACAGCTGTCCTTTGTTTGCAGCCAGGAGGAGCTCAGCAGGGATACCCAGGAGGCCCAGCCCCAGGCCAACCCATGCCAAATTACCCTGGGGCCCCAGCCACAAACCCCTCAATGCCTGGATATGGAAGTGGAGTTCCATCAAATCCTCAGGCTCCTGCCATTCCTGTACGATGCATCTTCATTTTAGGATCTCTCTTAAACTATGTTCCAATGCATATGCTGCTAAAACATGCAGCTATTTTATCTTCTAATATTTTATATCTCATGTTTATTTTAAATTTACAGAAAGGCTACAGGGGATCTATTAAGGACTATCCAGGGGCTGATCCTCTGAGGGACGTTGAAGTTCTTCGAAAGGCCATGAAGGGTTTTGGTAAGTTCATCCAATGTATTATCATTAAAAATGAATAAGAACTTTATTGTCCAATTTCCTTTTTTTACATTAATTATGAAAAATGATCTTGGATAGGCACTGATGAAAATGCCATTATTGAACTTCTGGGAAGTCGCACCAACAAGCAGAGAGTTCCAATGGTGCCTGGCTACAAAACTACCTATGGAAAAGTACGTTTTACTATTTATTTAGATTTGACTTTCTTTTGTTTTTTCTTTTTCTGCCCCCCATATGACCTTGCTCTCATGTCTATTTTTTGTATTTTTCCCCTCTCAGGATTTAATCCACGATCTGAAGTCTGAGCTCACTGGAAACTTTGAGAACCTGGTTGTTGCCATGATGATGAGTCCCTCGCACTTTGACGCATATGAACTCAGAGAGGCTATAAAGGTTGGAAGCCTCAGTTGTTGTCTCAGCAGATGCTTCATTTGTGGTTTTGTAGTTAGAACCACAGTGTGTGACTCATTGTGCAGTAGGAAAATAATAATAACAAAAATCCCTTTTGTAAGATTGGATGTCAGACCAAGATTCAAAGTCCATTTTTACTTTTTGATTTGTGTTTGTTTCTGAGCATGTCTTTCTATATTTTTTTTTAGGGCGCAGGAACTGATGAAGCTTGTCTGATTGAGATTCTGTCATCACGCTCCAATGCAGAGATTCGTCAAATCACCACTATCTACAAAGCTGGTGAGTTCTGATGTTGACATGTGTACTTTTGATTCATATGTTTATTAAAATAATAAAAAGCGTGGGAGAATAATGTTTGAATTTGATCTTAATGTTTGAATGTTTCATAGTAATCTAGTAATTTGAGTTCTCACATTCAGGTGCCAAAAAATGTAAATATGATGCAAATGAGTGAATTTTACTGAAAATGTCCTTCTAGAGTTCGGGAAGAGCCTGGAGGACGCCATCAACAGCGACACCTCTGGTCACTTCCGCAGGCTCCTGGTCTCTCTGAGTCAGGTAGGCTCTGCTTTTAAATGACTAGAGCCAAAGCATTCAGGTATGATAACGTGTTTTCAGTCTATACGTCTTTGTCTTACTCCATCTAGGGAAACCGTGACGAAAGGGAGACTGTTGACATCTCTCTGGCTAAACAGGATGCTCAGGTACTGGTTTGTAGGTGACTCAGTGTTGTAACATTCTTGTATGTAATTAGCAAGCCTTATCATGTTTCTCTTTTAATGTGTGTGTGTATGTGTGTTTCAGAAACTTTATGCTGCTGGAGAGAACAAAGTGGGAACGGATGAGTCTCAGTTTAATGCCATCCTGTGTGCTCGCAGCAAGCCTCACCTTAGAGCAGGTGTGTTATTGTAACATCACTTTGCTTCCACTAAGCTCCTAATATACATTCTGCTTCTGTATTTACCAGTGTCATAGCCGCTGCACACACTGACCTTTTGATTCATGTTTTCAAATATTATGATTTTAACTGTCTTGCATGTGTCTCTCGTCTTAAATAGTTTTCCAGGAGTACCAGCACATGTGTGGGAGAGACCTTGAGAAAAGTATCTGCAGGGAAATGTCTGGCAATGTGGAGGATGGCATGGTGGCTGTGGGTAAGCTTGAGCTTTTTGTCTTCATTTCTTCAAACCTCAACTGAAGTGATGAGCCTTCCCAAAAACGTTTTCAGGCTTTAAGTATACATTGAAGTCATCTGTCAAGAGGTTGTTTTCCGACGCTTTCCTGGAAGGACTAAAATACCTTTCAGGCTTTGACCCACCTTTTTTAAATCTTGAAAGGTGATTGATCTAAAGAAAATGATGGACTGTGAAGAAGCGGCTGACTGAAATGTTTGCAGTCTTCACCTTCGATGGTCATATATTATAAAACATACAATACAGTTACTTCTCTTTTTTTGGTCCATAATTTCAGCTTTAAACAATCAGCTTTTTGACTTGTTCTCTCCATCTTGTCTTTGTGGAGCGTTGGTCTGATCTCGCAGATCAGACTCATTTATTTTCAGTGACTTAACATTCAATATCTGCTGCTGTTTTCTAGTGAAATGCATCAAGAACACCCCTGCATACTTTGCAGAGAGGCTCCACAAGGCCATGCAGGTACTTCTGTTTTTTTATTTATTCTCATTTTACTCCTTAATCATGAAACAAGATAGTTTCCTGCTTTGATGTGATCGTATTGGGACAGAGGAGAAGATTTCACTGCTGCAGTCAGTGAAGTGTCATATTGTGATGCATTTACAGGGTGCAGGGACCAAGGACAGAACCCTCATTCGGATCATGGTCTCCCGCTCTGAGGTTGACATGTTGGACATCAGAAAGGAATACGTGAAGACCTATGGAAAATCCCTCTACAATCATATCTCAGTAAGTCCAGCCTACCGCGTTACTATGACAAACACATTTTCTGATATTTCTCAGCCATCTTTACGTGATGCATATTTCTGTGTTTCTCAGGGTGATACCTCTGGAGATTACAAGAAGCTTCTACTGAAGCTGTGCGGTGGTAACGACTAAAAGGAAAAGAAGCTAAACCCTCCTGTGGACAGTATATGTATGTCCACACTGTAACAATGTTATAGGACTTAATATCACCTCTGATGCATGCATTTAACATTAGCTTTCCTGTAACAATGGTAACTCAACATTAGGTTTGTATTCTCTGCAATGACATAGATGCCACTGATTGTCAAAAGTAATTATATATTAATATGAAGAGTTATAAAACCACAGTAGATAGATTCATCTTTATTTGATGAGAGGCAGAGGCCTAAAACAGAAAGTGAGAACAAGAAAATGTCAAACTCAATCAACAAAAATGAAGGTTTATTATTGTGCTAACAATGTTATATAGTAGTAGTAACTACAATACTTTAAATGATCACAAACTGGATACAGAGAGTTTAATACTATAAGAAAAAACAGTGTAAAAGATGCAGGCAAGTGGCTCATATAGGAAGTATATTTTACACAATATATCATTTCAGCACTATTGGGATAAAGTTTGCTGCATTGCCAATCATTCCATGTATGCAAAGTTATAAAAAAAAACCTATGTGAGACTGTTAAACTAGTTTGAGCAAAGATAAAATCTCAAAGGATCATCTGGTGATTCTTTAACTAGTGACACATAAATCCAGCTTATTGTTTTAATGTAAGAAATTAAGATCCGCAAAGGACGTGTCCGTGCTAACTAACAAGAGTTTTACTTCTGCTTTAGAGTCAATGAAGGTTATTTTTTTGCTATATATGTTTATTTATATCAGCTCTACAAAACTCTAATGTTCAGCTCCTGAAATGTAAAACTTTCCAATCATTGCTCAGCATTTTCAGACAGAGTTGCCTTTCTCTCAACATTGAAAAGCCAAAGCATAGAGACAGATCATGTTGTGCCTTTTGCCTGGGCTGCTAAGTGCAGAGATTTCACTGTGCAACCATTACCATACATGTGTTGTTGCAGAAAATTTAAAATTTACTTTGTTTGGTTTTGAATATTTTGTTTACATCTTCTGTCATGGTGTCCTGTACTGGTTTATTCTGCCAGTAGAGGGCTCTTGGCTCAATGAAGTGCCATTCCTTATGTCTGGCTGTGTTGCCTGCTGACTGAGAGTCGTCCATCGAGCTGAATATCTAATGCATTAACTCTTCTTTTAAATCATCCTTATAACATGATAATGATTGGAACTGAATGGATGCCTGTTTAATGTTCTAACATTTTGCCATCTGATTGTCCCAGTGTCTCCAGAGGCAGCCACTTGTCATTTCAATAAAAACATTTTTGGCATATCTGGATTATATTTGTGAACTGAGACTGTGTTTTGCATGAAACGTGGCTCGTGGATTTTCTCTGAGCCTGCACACAATGAGCAATTTGCATTTCAAATATGGTCTCATTTTCAGCACCTCTGTCTCCCCTCCCCATCTCCATCCTCAGAGCGTCAGGAGCTGTGTGTTGTGTTCAAAGGTGCGAGTAATGTGGCTTACGTAACTTGTGTGCGTGTGCTGTATAATCGGAGAGGGAGAGAGAATGCTCAGGTTTGCTCTGCAGCTCGAGTGATATGGCACAGAGAGCTTTCTCTCAAGGCTATAAATAGTGTCCATATTGGAGACATGGTTGTCCTAAAGTCGTCTTTCTGTTGTGCTCACTCGCCTCAAAGTGCTGCCTCAGAGGAACTGTGATGGGGAGACAAATGACTTCACTGAGCCTCCCCTCTTCTAACCCTTCCTTATTTTTCATACACACTTTAAGTGAAAAGCTCCCACCAGCTGGAGGACAAAGCGGGATGAATATTTGATGTCGGTATTTGTGTATTTTCTCTCCAGTGGAGCCAGTTTGCCGCGATACCCCCAGAAATATATAGGTCAAAAGCAAATCTTAGGGGGGACCTTTCCATTTGCCTCGCTTTTACTTTTAGAGACAAAACAGAACACTTCCCTGATCCTGATTTCCAGACAAAGTGCTTTAATTATTAACACATGGACTTCAGAAAGCATGCTTTCTGGGACTCAATTACACCTTAAAACATCTGAAACACGCACACAGGGTTACACTGCTTTACTGGACAGTGCAGATGGGGGTGGTGTCAGTCAAAAGAACCTGTACACATCATCAGTTCCAGTCAGACAAAGAGGTTAGGGATGAGGTCGTGGCCTAAGGTTTTAAGACAGAGACGAGAACATTGACATCTGTGTTTTGTTTGATTTATTAGTTTCGTAATTGTAGTTTTAATTTCGACTGCTGCGCAGCGTCGTCAATCATGTAATCTGGAAACTACATAGAAGAGTCCGCACAGGAGGCCTGTCAGGTGAAATCGTGAAGCATTTATCACTGATATTTTTGAGTGTGTGTGATTTGGTGCAGAATTCAAATAAAGATCTAGTGAATGTAAATGTGGTTTCATAAGGGGACTGTTGGGCCTTGGCTCTATTGCCATTCTAGTTTAGTTTGTATGTTTTTAAATCTTGGAATGCTAAATAATTCATATTTGATATGATATTTTACTCTGAAGAAAAACTCCTACTGACATAAAGGGAAAAGAGGAAAATACTAAAATAAAGTGACAAACGATTAAAAAAATAAAATCTCATTGTACGTTTGGGACACAGGCATTTTAAACATAATTTGAAATGAAATCCATTTCAATGAGTCAACTGAGACTAGTCACCGGTTTTACCTTAATTCACATCCCCCTAACCATTTACTACTATTAATACTGTGTCATGGACAAGTAAGTATCAACCAAATAGTTGATTCACAGTGGATATTCTGCAGCCGTCCAATAAGGAATGTGTTGTTGAGTGACATTTGGTTGCCAGGGACATAATCCTGCTTTAAACTTCATGAGTGCATATAAGCAAATTACAAACCCGAGGATTAGATCAACAACACATAATGAGATGTTGCAGCAGATATCACTATAGCCCTGTCTGCAGAGCTGCAACCTGCACAGTCTGAGTCTCATCCTGTGATATTTGACAAAATAAGAGAATAAAACCTGTTCAACCTGTTCTTTCACTTGTCTATATACGTCCAGCTAAAGAGGCTTTAGAGCGGCACACTGCCGGAGGTCAGCAAACCATCACAAAACCCAGCCAGAGTTTGAAGATTTATGGGTCTCGAATTTTAATCTAGAATTTACATAGTTCCCACACATTTCAATTAGTTTTCTTGGTGAGTTCCATATGGATTTTTCCCTGCAGGGAAAATAAATTAGTGTAGTTGTTATATAACCACTTGGATTGTTAAAGCAGTTTTAAACTGAAGAAATGTATAGGCACAGTGTGTACCGTATTAAGCTTTAAAGCCAAGCCCTGCCTAGCTCCAGATGAGAGTCACAGTCCTCATAAAGCCAATACACTGAAAACCCTTAATTATATATAGAGCATTGTCATCAGTTACGGTAAATGTTTGGTAGATTTTCACATTCAGCTTTTGGCAAGGTCATGTATGTGAGGCTACATATGAGAATGTATGGATTTTCTTACACGATTTCATCATCTGCATTTACGTCATTTGTTTCTTGAGGATTTCAGTGTTCTGTGACGACTGCCTCTTTTGAGATCTGATGGATTATGTGGAGCAGAAGAAAGCTCACGGAGCGGGGCAGATGTGTCAGGGGACAATCCAGATGAGTAATAGGCAACTCTATATGATCTGGTGGTACATATACAATCTGCTCTGAAAAGAGATCAAGTCACACATAGCTGTTGCAGTTTCCTCAAAATGAAATGATAAATGATTCAAAAATGAACGATGCATGTGCAACATCCATAACTGGATACAAAAAACAGGTCAAGCTTTGGAAAGTGAAGCACAAATCAATAAATGCATGATATTCAATGCTGTTGTATTTACACAACTGCATAACGCAAAGGATACGTGCCAGATTACCAGAAACAAATTCACTTTATTGTACGGTACCACATGCCTGCATAATGCAATGCTCCTTAAACATATGACAACCAACAACCACACATTGAGACATTTAGTTTCCCCCCCTACACGATAAGTAAGTCCCTATAGAGATAAAGGGCATTTTGGGAGATTACGATGTCATTAAGCTTCTGTACAACAAAGCGACAGAAATGACAAAGAAGATTATTTTGTGATTTTAGGGCAATATTTGCTAACATTTAGAGTATAAATGTATGTGTGTGTGTTAGATTGGGATCCACTGTTTAGGGGCATTGCAGCTGCACATGGAGTTACAATTAAACTTCACTCAATATAGCATATTCTTTGAACTCCACTGTACTGGATAAATACGTCAGTAGAAATATCGCTATGTGAGATTTTATCACATGTACAGATGCATTATAGGAAAATCGAGTCCTCACAAATGCTATTTTGGATGAATGAGCAAAAATTCCCACAGACACACTCTAAAATCTTGTCGAAAGGTTTCCCAGAAGAGTTGTAATAGCTGCAAAGAGGAGACAACTCCATATTAATGCCTCCATCGGCACAGTGGTGAGTAGATGATGAGTGAAGTTTCATTTTTGGGTGAACTATCCCTTTAAGGGTTCAGGGTGTAGTATTTAGTGACATCTAGTAGTAAAGTTACATGTTTCAGCTGAATACCCCACACCTCATCCTCCCCTTCCAAACATGGGAGAAAACCTGAGGTCGCCCTTCAGTTATCATATAAAAACGCAGAAGTTAGTTTGTCCAGTTTGGGCTACCGTAAAAAAAATGGCAGCCTCCGTAGAATGGACCCTCTCCTGATGTAAATATAAAGTATTTAAAGGTCCAGTGTGTAAGATTTAGGTGAAAGGGAACTGTTGTCAGAAATTTAATGTAGAATAATCCTCATGATGTTTTCACTAGTTCGTTTCATCTAAACTGTAGTGTTCTTTACCCCAGACAAGGCTCTTTATATTTGAATACTTTATATTAACATCGAGGGGACCATCTCTACGGAGGCCGCCATGTTTTTTACATTAGTCAAGACTGGACAAACTAAACACCTTTTGAGTTTTCATGACAACTGAATGCTACCAGAGGTTCTCCTTCATGTTTGGAAGAGGAGGGTGAGGTGAGAAGTGTTCAACTGCAAAATAAAATACACATTGTACCTTTAAATATACAGGGCCCATTCTAGGGTAAAGAAAACCACAACACACTGGTGGGTTACTTTGTATTCATAAGGAACACAATAAGGGAAATGTTATTGTTACCACAACAATAACAGGGACATATACATAAGTTTGTAAAACATCCATTTTCACTTTTCCCTTGTTGGTTTTTCACCGAACACAACAGACGACATCACGACAGTGTCACCTGGTTTATAACCATCGTCACGTGATCATTTTCATAACGACGATTACAGCAGAGGAACCAGGTGAAAGCGAAGCCCCGCCCCCTTTTTACCTTAAAAGTCCACGGCGGGGACGATGATTGGCAGATCGCTACAGCTGCTGCGGCGCGGACCCAGGGAGACATGGCGGAGTTTGTAGTTTCACGGAGAAGCGCTGCTCAGGAGTTTCTCCACTTTCCAACATGTCCGCACGACTTCAGCTCGGGACTTTAATGTCCACGTAGCGTGTGTGGAGCGGAGCCGGAAGAGGCGCCGACGTCTTTTTTCACTCAGTTTTTCTTCTTCCCGGGGAAGGACGGAGGGAGCAGCGGCGGCAGGAGCGGCCGCGGTCGGGGGAAAATGTGTTGTCATCTCCGCGCAGTCAACAGCCTTGGGCAACAAATATGGCTACTTCTGGTGTATCCCTCAGTTCGGGTCGATAACCGTCCCCAGCCGGGCCGGGCCGGGTAGTTCCTCCAGGGGGGTCAGGAGTTACTTCTAGTCCGGGGGTTGGAAGTTGACTACCAGAAAAGATTAAGACGCTGGATTTGTCCCCGGAGCTGGTTTGGTTGAAGCGAAGGAGTTGGAGGGAGGGAGGAGGGGAGCGAAACTAAAGAAGAAGAAGAAAGAAAGGAGCAAGAAGAAGAAGAAGATGGATCCCAGGAATAAGGAGTTACTGGAGACATGCTACCAGAACTTGGTGGAGTCCATAACAGACGCGGACCGGGTCGTGGACGTGCTGGCTCACTGCGGGAGCCTCAGCCCGGCGGAGCGCTTCGAGCTGGGGCACAGCTGCGCCTCCAACCCGGAGAAAGTGGAGCTTCTCCTGAAGATCCTGATGAGTAAGGACAGAGACCATTTCTCCGAGTTGTGCTCGGCCCTGGAGAAGACGCACCCTCACCTGCACTCGGTGCTGCTCAACGGCACCGGACCAGTGGACCACACGACCGGTGAGCAGCCACCACAGGGTTCGTTACCTCATGTAGATTGACT